CATGCATATTGTGTAGTGGGAACAAGAGAAGCAGCAACATATCTCTGAATGGAAACAGTGTCACAATTCTGGTTTAGGAAGGCTAGCTAGACATAAATGTGGGCTACCTTCGAGGAACTATGTTGCGTCGTACACTCAATAGAGAGATCGAGGTGGAGATTGAAGCTGAGCGCTTGCTATCTCTCTCAAAAAAAAAAAGATCTAAAAGATTCATCACCACCAATAAATCGCTTCAACAAATAGATTAACAAAGGTTAGTAGAATCCCATACCTTTCCATCTCACTCTGAATGGAGCAACACCATGCTTTGACATTTGTAAATATATGTATCCATTTTGTATATGGGCATGCAAGACTAAAACAGAGCGTAAAAGATACGAGAATAAACAAAACAAGTTATGGCCTATTGGGTATTCGGAGAGAGAGAAAGAGACTATTTCGATCCCGGTAAATAAGGCTGAGAGCATACAAAATACAAGATTCAGAGAGAGAGAGAGAGAGAGCAAACAAAGGATAGATTAGAAAGAAAAAGGGCAATTAGGGGCATCTTACTGGTGATGAGAGAGAGAGAGAGAGCAACTAGCTTAGATAAAAAAAGGGCAACTACAAGCAAAAGGAACTCATCTTCCAAAACCAAATTTTTAATAAAGGAATGAAAGCAAAAAAAAACGCATATAAAGTTTTTGCATCCACCTTGGTCATCAAGATCTTGAGTTTCAAATCGTAGCAAGTCTTGAGATTCTTCTTCCTCCTTTCAACTCTTTTGAATTCCCATAAGCTTGAGTCTGACTTTTGTAGGATATAGCGTCCCTCCCTGCAAAACAAAAAAAATGCTAATCATAAGCACTTAAAAGCATAAATGAGCAAGATAATCAATTAAAAATTTAAGCATTTGAGATCCGAAATCGTCTCTGACAGCTAAGCGTTCCACTTGGGGCCGGGGCGGGGGAGAGAAAGAAGAAAATTCCACTAGAAAATACAAAATAAGGCCTAGAAACACAATTCAATTCTTTAAACCCTATAAGAACTCTAGAATCTCCATAAGATGGCATCTTCATTAAAAAAATACATATACCAAAAAAAAAAAAGGAAAAGAAAATTAAACACAAAAGAAGCCCTGAAAGCATAACTTCAACAATACATATCCTAAAAAAATACCAAAACATCCAAATCCAAACACACAGGAAAATCATAGAGTATTACCAATATGAGGAATTATATGAAGAACTCTTCTCATTCTCATTTTCTGTTTCAATTTAGCACAATATCAGAAGAAGAAGATAAAGGAGAAAAAATAGTAAGTATTACCAATAGCCTCCTATAACAACATCTCTCTCTCTAAAGTGGGTCAAATCATTGGTGAAAAGAAAATTGAAAGGGACATGAAGTTGGGAATGTTATGACAATTCATGCCTCTCTTAAAACTAAGAAATCAAGTTGTGACAGTTGAATTAAGAGGAAATGCAGAACAAATTCAAAGTAAATTAATACAAAGATGAGAGAAAAATAAGAGAAACAAAGGCGATTGAACCATTTTGCTTACGGGGTAAGTTAACGTGTGACAACATCCTGAGGCAACGAATAAATTGCTTTTTTTCCAATATCTCCCTTTCGACCCAAAGATTCTTGGAACAAATGTTTGAAAAATCCAGAAACCAGAAAATAAATCTTAGAGAGAAAAACTAAATAGAGATAAAGAACTTTTAATGGTATTTTTTGTTAAATCAAGATTTTAAATTTACTCCTATTGTAACTTTATTTTTCTTTAAATCAATTTTGAATAATATTAAATAAATAAATAATAAAGTTATAAGGAGTAAGTATTTTTTAGAAAAGATAAAATACGAATTTATATCAATACTATTAAAAAAGCAATTTTTTGAAGATCTTTTAAAAAACTCAGGATTCTTAACGGATTTAAAAAAAATCATGTTTTGAACGGAGACTTAGCAACTATGATATTTGCATAATAGCTAAATCTAACGTTGAGTTTCATTGACCTGAGCCGAGCCGAGCCAATGTTAGCCGCAACGAGCCGATATTAGCCAGTCGAGCCGATGTTAGCCAAGTCGAGCCGACGTTAGCTGAGCCAAGCCGAGACATTTTAGCGCGAAAAAGCCGAGCCGAGTTCAATAAATAGTTGGTCTAAAATCCCAAAAATGAGAAAATTGATAAAATTATGAATAAATTATTAAAATAAAAATTGTGAAAAAAAAAAAATTATTTTAAAATTTAATTTTTAGAAAAATTATGCTAAAAAAAATTAACGTGGGTAAAATGGCATCTATTTTTTAGGGTTTTATGCAATTTTCCACTTGGAGAACACCACCGAAGTACGGCAACGGCTCTCTCGCTCTCTGAGGCAACGGTTCTCTTTATATGTCAACGGCTCTCTCTATATGGCAACGTCTCTTTCTCTCTCTAAGGCAACTCTCTTTCTCTCTCTAAGGCAACTCTCTCAAAAGCAACGGCTCTCTCTCTCTCTCGGCAACGGCTCTTTCTCTCTCAAAGGCAACGGCTCTCTCCCTCTGAGGCAACGGCTCTCTCCCTTTGCTTTGACATGCTCTAGCGAAACACAAAAGGCCTGGCTGCAACTCCTTTCTCTTTCTCACTCAGAGGTTACTCTCTCTCTAAGTAGACATCCCCATTAACAATCTACTGATTTTCTCCTCTCTCTCTCTGTATCTTGATCAGAAACCGATCCATCTCTCTCTGCATTTCTTGATCACAGAGCCAGCCAACATGCATCTTGTCAAATTTCTTCCTCCAGTTTGGACCATAAGGCTTCATTCGTCTTTGATCAGAAATCCATTAATATTTTTCTTCTTCCTCTTTTGCAATCAAGAAAACGAGCTCAACAATGAGAGCCCACCCCAAAAGGAGTGTACTCATCTGGATCTCTGTTGCATTAGATTTTGGTTTTTCTGACAGGTGAAATGTTCAAGCATACGGTCATTTAACTTCTGTGATTTATGAGTGGCTGATGAGCAACCTCTGATTATTCTTTTAATCATCTTCAGGTTATATTGGTGAAGATAGAAATTCTCCTCTGGTAAGTTCAATTCCTTAGTGGGATGTTTATTTCATGCTCGTATTATAATTGAAAGATAGAGGGTGATTTAGTGCGTGCTTTTGATCTGGTTGCATTTTCTGGATGAAATAGCACTTTAATTTGATGTGCATTATGCTAGATTCCCTGGATTGGATCCATCGGTCTCTAATCGAGTTAAGAAACAGATATGGGTATTGTCTTTTTTGTATTGTATTTGGTGAATTGCAGATTTTTAGGTAGATTGGGCATAGGCTCTAACGATTTGAATTGTTTAGGTTTTAGGTTATAGGTTATTCACTAAATTGCTTTTGTGCCTTTTCTTCTTTTTAGGCTGTGAAGTCCGATCACATAATTGATGTCATTCAGAAATTAAGTTCACCTCTCACTAAGGTACAACTTCATGTTGAAATCCATTTGCTTTTGAAAATCATATTCTTGTGCGTAGATGCAGGAGGGATGGAAAGAAAAATTAATCTCCTGTTGCTACTTTGCTAGTATAACTTCCTTAGTTTTTCATCTCTACAATGTCAATGATGCTTCAAATATGGTAAAAATCAGGGCATGGTATCTACCATCATGACAATTCTATGCTTTATAGCTTATTTCACAAAATTTCTGCATATTATAATGGGAAGGTTATTTGGAGAAGTTGTTTATTTATTTTTTCGTTCTTTTTTGCTAATTGAGCGCTTGTTTAGGGGGTTCCATGCACCATTTTTTGAGATAGCAGCCATCAAAACACTTGGACACCTAATCCATCTTCGCCATTTTGATCCTTCATGGTCTTGGCACGCAAAATCCACTTGATGGTTGCACTCTCTGGGTCTAACTAGCAAAAGTTTTCGGGTCAACTATGTGTATGCCTTGAAAATAGATACTAGCGAGAAGTCAAATTTCAAGAATCTCCCTTGTGCTGACAGATGCACTTTGTCTAGATGAAATAATGGACCTCATCACTTCCCTTGGTAAAAGTTATACCCATAAACTTTCCATAGCTCTAGAGTTGGTGCCCTCGCAATGGCACTGATTCCCCTTTTCTTGACGGAATATATGGCAAGGGATTGACTTCTACACTTTGACTGTAACATATGGCAAGGGATTGATGGAACATATGGCAATGGAACACTTACATTTGGTGAGCCACTTAAGCATTAGATGACTTGTATATTTGAGGGAGATTAATTCATCTTATATTGGCTGCTAATATATTTTGAGGGAGATTAATTCATCTTATATTGGCTGCTAAATTCTATGGGAGTATTGATGTATAAGATAGTAGATACTTGTGAAGAACAGTGATATTTTCTTGGACTTCATTTCGAGTATTTCTTCTTGCCAGGGCATCATAAATCATTTTGTGTGGACTCCCGAAGTGGCAGTCCATTTCATTCCATGATGGATTCTGCTTTATCTAAGTTAAAGCTTTTGTGGTCCTCTGATTGTCACAGTTGTATTTCTATATGCATATGGATGGTCCAACAGGTGCCATGGTTATGTGGCCACAACAGTCTGCATTTGCAGGCTGGTGGCCTTACGTAAGCTTCCAGAATAATCATCAATATTTATGTTTGGGATTCTTGGATTGATAAGATGGAGTAACTTCGCCTCTGATCCATATATATTATGTCCAAATTCTGTGATTTGTTAATGATGGTTGTTGTTTCTTAGTTACATACATGGAAACAGTCCTTTTGTTGCTTGAGTTTTACTTATTAGTTATTTTTGGTTAAAGAGAAAATTTTGATTTTGATTTTGATGTTGTCATTGATTCATTCTATAGGTGACTGGGTATCCATTGAATCCACAAATTATGGGAGTTGACCTCAAGTATGTAAAGCAGTTTATAAGTTTGGTTGCTGGCCTTTCCTTTTATATTGATTATGGTTTTCATTTAAATTCCCTCCCCTGAGGTCATAGTTACTTTTTAAAAATATCAACTAGTATGTGATTTTTTGTTTTCTCCCTTTTGCTTGGATCATGCCTCTAACAGATTGATAGTTCACATTCAAAAAATTCACAGTTGAATTTATTATTCTTGTCCATGTTGGATACCATTATCTAACAGTTGTAGGTCAGTGTCCCAGGTTAGATACATTTTTTATTGGTTTTGTTTGCTGCTTAATGCGTTTACGGTAGTGTCTGGGCTTTTGCCATTGATATGAGATTGTTCACAATTATCCCTTTTGTAATTATCATTGAGAGGAAGTTCGGGAGTTGAGTCTTGTTTCTTATGTTCTTTAGTGTGTTTTGGTTGGGATTTGAATTGTTATTGCTAACTTGTGCTCAAAGGTTTCCTTTAGGGAGTTTTGCAAGGTCACTAAAGTCTAGGGAAGGGACTCTTTCACCCACTTTGAGTTTTCCCATTTAACAAGAATTGTTTTAGATCCATATATGATGTTGACTGTGAATTGCTAAAAGTCTAGTTCCTCTCTATCAATGTAGAATTGGATTCATATACTCTGTGAGCTTTCTTCTGATGTTCTTGTTCTGGATCTGCAACTTCCTATATACTTGAATCTTTTTTTGGATGGATCATGGTTTCATCAACAGTAGTGCACGACAAATATGTGATCAGTAAATGTCTGGATCAATTAAATTCTCACAATTCTTCATGAGTAGTGAATCTGAACTGTTAAGTTTTATATATATTTAGTTGGAGTGTAACTCAGTCTCCTTTTAAGATGGGTTGCCCATGTTCATAATGCACAACTATGAACCTCGCCAAAACAAAAAAGACACACAGCAGTTAGAATATCTGTTTTCATGTAATTCCATTAAAATGTTTGTATGTTTTGACAGTTCCTTATGTTACAACCTTTGATATTATCTATTGTTTGATATGTCATCATACCTAATCATAATCATGAGTTAAATAGTCATTGAAAATGAATAATGATGAACTCATGTGTGTCTGTTTGGTTGTTCTTGTCCCCTCAATGATTTATGATGTGTCACCTTTTGTAGCTTTATGTGCATGATGAAAAATTTAATTAGCCTATATTCTTCTGCAATAACATATCAGGTTTTGTTGAGCTTGTAAGTCGAACCTGACAACAGAAGAATAAAATAGTTGGACATGTGAATATATTCTTCTGTTGTCATTCTATGTGAATATATGTCATTCTATGTGAATATATTCATTGTATGTGAATATATGTCAGTCTATGTCATTCTATGTGAATATATTCACATAGAATATATTGTGAATACATTCTTCTATGTGAATATATTGTGAATATATGTCATTCTATGTGAATATATGTCATTCTATGTGATTATATTCTTTTGTTGTCATTCTATGTGAATATATTCTTCTTTTGTCATTCTTCTGTTGTCAGGCTCGACTTATTTTATTCTTCTGTTGAGCCTGTAAGTCTGAGCCTGACAACAAAAGAATAAAATAGAATGACAACAGAAGAATAGAATCTTGAAAGAATGAGTTGATAGAGAGCCCTGCGTTGATCTTCAGGTACAACTTGAAATAATTAGACACTTAGACACAATTGGACCC